TCCAGACACCTCTGATACTCTGGGTTCATAAATATTTCAACAATATAGAACAAAAATGCAAGAGACACTATTCTTTAGCAACACCTCTATATTAGACTTGTTCAAAAGAGTAGGGTGCAGGTTTAGGATATACAACCCCAGTTAACACATAAAAGCAGAACACTTGTAAAATAGGAATAAACCATTAGCAACATTTAACAGGTTATACAGTCATGAGTAGTAAGCTTCAACTTTTTAATTCCAACACCAACAGCAAGAGGGGGAAGAAAAGGCTTGTTGACTTATCAGCTCCCTCTGTGCCACTAGCACCACAACGTGGCATGCAGAGAATTATGTAAGTGTATACTCTGGCACAAATAGATATAAGTATCTTAATTTGAATAATAATGGCCTTAAAAGAGAAAAGGTCCCTTTAACTAGAGATTGAGACTTGAGTCCTATGATGTTTAAAGTTCATGATATGGTGGCATCCACTGTCTTCTGCTAGCAATTGTGGGGCCCATAAGCATTAGTAAATACTGGTAATTCAATGAAGGTAAAAAGATAGGCTGTGGTACTGCAAAGCAAAGATCTCCTGGTAACTGAGGTGTAAAGGTGTCTGCATGAAGTGTCTCTGGAGTGATGACAAAAAAGAGGTTGGGCATCCTCCCGCCCTCCAATTCCATGGGTAGCATGGCCTTGTATAAACAAGAGTTCTTGCCCAGGCTCTTGGCTGTTTGCAGGGATGTGCAGATTTACCACCTGAAGGCCTGTCAGCGCGGCAAGCAGAGGTGCCTGTGTGAAAACTGGATAGTGACAATCCTGATGCGGAGAAGCTGATGTGATCCCGGTGTGGCGATCGGTGTCACCGCTGTGCTTAACTGATGTGTAGTAGCACTGAGTCCCACAGTAGTAACCAGCAATCTGTCTCTGGAGGAGAACGGCTGTCCCTCTGTGTTCAGCTCTGAATCCTGCACCAAGAAAGAGAGCCAGTCCCTCACTGTAGAATATATCTGCTCTCCTAGCATCCTTTTGATTCGCCAGCTCTCTGGTAGTTGTAGTTCAATCAGCACTCAGAAATACAGGATGTATTGGCTATAGGACTACAGGTTCCATGATCACTGCCGTCAGATGAACTGGATCCACTCTGCTAACATAAAGTGATGTAGCAGTCCCAGTCTGGGCACTAGGTGCAAAAGATTAATCATAGCCTCATCTGTAAATGTCCCTGAATAGCATAATGATGTAGCCGGGACCTGGCTACATAAAGTTGATCCTATTAAGTCGATGTTAAACCAATAATCCAGCTTGGTGTGTTGGTGTCTTATTCTTTGCATGTTTGCTAGATCTGTCTGCCACCTATGGTTCCATGATTATCCCTACACAGTCAGAAAATGTCATGTAACAATATTTTTATGTGGGTTTTTTCTAGTTAGAACAAATACAGTATAGTACTGCTGTATTCTCAGACCAGTTACTGAAATTTAGGAAACTCTAGACCTTAAAGAATATGTTAATCCAACATTTGATATTCCTGATATGTGTCTGCAGTACCATGTACTTGTAAGAAAAAGTATCCTGTTCTCCTGCCAGTCCTCTTCTTTCCTATTAAAACTGACCACACTAGGCATGAGAGCACAGCGTGGTCAGTTTTCTAGCTGTGCTTGGAACTCAATGTGCTCTCCTCCAATAATAAGACTTGTGCTGACAGTCATCCCCATCCCTTTCACAGCCATTCACTGGGAAGTTCATCATGCTGCTGTTTCTCTTCCCCCAGCTCTCTGAATTCCTGAGAACAGATATTGTGTGATCACTTATTAAAAAGGGGGAAAAAAGTGTTAATTATGCTTTTAATATCTATACACAAATGTTTTGCATTTTATTTCTATTTTAAACTGAATGAGTTATTTTACAAGGTAATGGTTCACATATACTTTAAGAAACAGTTCCTGATAATCCTATTCTTAAATCACTATTTAAATAAGATTACGTGTAGACAAACAGAAAGTGGAGTCTAAAGTGTTTGAGGAACTGATAAGATACTGTATGTTCTCCTTTGCATTGGATTAATAGAATATGTCTGCCACGACTGCATATTGTTGGGAATATACATACTGCAGCTCCCAATTTCTGGCAGGGGAGTCTGCTTTATAGGACTCGTCCTTGTTCTCCAGGTGCGGCCATCCCTACTTGTCAGAAGTATGATTATTAGATCAACTTCTGTTGAATGGGAATGTTGAAGAATTTTTCTTGGCTTGCGGCTGCAGCCGTTGATATTATATATTGTTTATTCTGTCAATGAAGAGTCCCAATGTCAGAATACAATGTCCCAGTGAAGAGAATTCTTCCATGGACCTCACTTGTGGGGATGGAGGAATCCGCTAATTTTTTTCATTCAGCCTACTAGCTAATCGATGAAAATGAGTTATCTATTGCCAGCTTGACTTCTGACAGATAGAGCTGGAGCCTGAAATAAAGAATGCTTACTGCCAGGTGATTTACTAAAATATCAGTCCTGGTTGGACTGATACCTTTACTATTTATCATGCATACACCTGTAGCACTAACCCACCGCAGGAGTTGATTGGTACTCTGTACTCTTGCACAACTTCCCCACTCTAACCCCACTCGTTCATCAACATACCTGTGGTTACCCACATCTGTGTAGCCTAAGCGTTAATATTCTACCCCTCTATGTTGGTACACAGAATAGACCACAAGTAATTTACGGATTATTGAGATGAATGTATTATTAAAGGGTAGGCAAATGCAATGCATTCAATAAATAAACAATCAACAGAATATGTTAGATGAACTGATGGGTAAGTTAGCCTCACCTATGACCATTAAATTACACCACAACAAGGCTAAGCCCCATTGCACTAATCCACACAGTATCTATAAAAATAACATGAACAGTGAAAGCATGAATGGCATAAAAGAAACCTCACTGTATTTCTTAACAATAGATACCGAAACAATGCTCCTGAGTGCACCCTATACATACAACCCCAATAGTGTGTGGGTTTATGCATTACTGGCACTGGTCAGGGGTATCCCTGGAGGTAACTGTAGGTAAAGTACCTGGCGCCAGAATGTCAATGTTAGAAAGCTTCCGTTGGGACCCTTCTGTCAGTGGTACACCTGTATCTGCCCCTTTAAAACTGCACACAAAGGATGGCCAATGGGATGGTAAATAATGGGCAATCACAGTAAGCATTAACTGTGTTTACAAGGGGTTAAGCCTATAATTCTGCCCACCACTCCAAGTACACAACAGATCAGATCCAGTCCGCTTGGCTGTCAGTTGTCCAAGAAGTCCCAGTCTGCAAGTCTGCATGATAGGTCCCTTATGGTCAGATCCTCGCGATCAGATCCTCTCTGAGATGGTTTTACATGGGAACAGGTCTCCCCAGCTTGGGTCTCAAGGCATAGCAAATCTATCTGTGGCTCAGTCTTGCTCTCTAGTCTTCACAGATACCAGGCACAGACCCTGGCACAGGCCTGCCTCTGTTCAACCCCCATGCTGGTCTGCCTCAGCTCAGCTATTTTTGCATAAGAAAACACTGTATCTCTCCTCCTCTGTATGCAGGGAATTGTGTTCCTGTAGTTTTGTAGCCATTAGTCTCCATTTAGTTGTAATGAGCAGTGCACCTTTAAGGACTATGTATCCCATGATCGACTGCTGCACAGCAAGTCCTCTCTCTGATACCCCCATTGGCTCTCCTGCTCTCTGGCTCAGGTCCACTGCTTGGAGGGGGGGGGGGTAGTGGAAGTTCACATAGAGCCCACTCTGCTCACACAGAAGGGAAGCTAAGGATATGAGGCAGCTGCTGCAGCACAATGACAAAAGGGAGAGGGAAATGAAAGGAGAGAAACACATGCAGTCAGCAGCACACCCCGATACACCCCTAAGACCATATTTACATGGTCATTCATAGCCATACACCACCCAGATCAGTGTATTTCTGCGCCAATCAGCATCGTTCCCAATTGTCCCTCATTTAAAGGGACTGTCCCTCTTTTGAAACCAAATCCCACTGTCCCTTGTGCAGCCTCAGTAGTCCCTTTTTTTGGTCTGATGTCTACCATACTAAACATGTTATCCAACTTATACGTATATTACTGCTTTTGCAACATGTCTTACTTTTTTACAGTGCACACCAACTGAAGAATTAGAATGTAAGGCAAGTTGCTCTGTCTATGCATTGGGACTGCAAAGTTGTCCAACGAAACCCAATGGGGCTGCTATGAACAATCTGCTTGCTGTCCCTGCATATGTCAAAGACCAGTTTACACAAAAGCAAGGAGTTCATGTAATGTTGCAGCTTCAATGTATTTTCATGTTTTCCTATTTGTTACAGTTTAATGCTTTATTTTTCATGGAAAGCTGTGATGATCTGCAGAAACAAACAGGGAAATGTATCTGCTTTTCAATGAGATATGTCTTATCCAATTACAGGATATTATCCTGACAGACAGGACTGAAGACTTCAGCCATGCTGTAACAAGGCAGCATTATTCCCCATTACAATCATCCTGCTGACTCAGGGCTTTGCAGAAACAAAGATTGGCTCTTAGCACCTAATCCATTCCAGCTCATCATTTTGTTAACTGGAAAAACATCGCTGTGCAATCTGTCACATAAATGAACTCTGATTTTAAAATTTGTACATATTTACTTATTTATTTATTTTCGGAGAATGCATGTTTGCTGACACACTGAGCTATATATTTAAAAAGTATTTAAGACGTATACAAAGAAGATATCTATTATAGCTCCAAGGAGCAGGGCCCTCCTATCCCTCTTGTATTGAACTGTATTGTTGCTGTATTGTCTCCGTTTATATTGTAAAGCGCTGAGCAAACTGTTGGCGCCATATAAATCCTGTATAATAATAATAATTATAGTTAGACTGTTTTACAAGCCCTGGTCTGGTAAAGGAAAATTGTATTGTATGATCAGTGAGTACACATTGTGAATTATTGCAAAGTGTTCACCAATTAAGGTGTTACTAAACCCAGGACCCTGCATTGATTATATCAGGTCTCCCACAGTACACAGAACATGGAAATACAATTATGTTAGTAAATATAAACTGCTAAATACCTTTTCTCATCAACAGTTAGAGCAGTCTTTTGACTTCTATCAGTGTCCCAGCAGAGTACTGGTTAAAGCTTGTAGGACGAGTTTTCTTTCTGCTGTAGGAGGATGCAGAACCCCTGACCTCTGTCTGGGCAGTGATGATTGGCCTTGTGCTGATCACATGCAAGAAAAAAAAAACCTCTCTAGCAATACACACTAAACTGAGGATGTGCAGAATGGCCACGGTTCAGTCTGTCTTATCAGGAGATAAGATGTGGACACTTAAACAAGAGGAGGAGCAGATAAGTCAGAATCAAACAGCCTTTTTACACAATGCAGAGGATTAACCCCTTAGGTTCCACAGTGAGTATAACAAGCATGCTTTACTGCATATATAGACTGATTTTATTTTTGTGGGTTTAGTAATACTTTAAGGGACACAGGATTCAGTTATTTTGAAACAATTGGGTCTTGCAGCCACCTTTAGGAGGAAATGGACTCTGGTAAAGAAAAAGTCATTGGCTAGCCACTCCCATCATACTTTGTAAAAAACAAATATTAGGAGTAGATCACAAACACAGGGTGTGGGACCTGTGTCCCTTATTAAGCTCCATTAAATGGATTTTACACTAAGCGTAAAAAAAGCTTGTAGGGGGAGTTTTCATTCTCCCCTGATTGTCCTATAAGGCTACAAGACCCCTGACCCTCTGTCTGGACAGCGATGATTGGACCTGTGCAGATCACATGCACTCTTCCCCCAAAAAAAACTCTCTAGCAATACACACCAAACTGAGTATGTTCAGCTTGCCCCCACGGCTGTGTTCTTTCAGCAGATGGACTGGTGACTATGGAAGAAGGGGAGGATCAGAGAAAACAGGATCAAACATTTTGTATACACAATGCAGAGGATTGCCCCCCTAGGTTCCACAGTGAGTATAACCAGCATGCTTTACTGCATATACAGACTGATTTTACTGTTGTGAGTTTAGTAACACTTTAATTAAATATATTCCTCAGTTGTCAAAAAAGATTTAAATCTGCTTGGTGTGCGCCGAATGCCCATGCAAATCCAGATATTACTGTAAAATGTAGCAGTGACATCATCACTAACTTATTGGATGGATCAATGGGTAATGCAACCATAACTTGTGCAGAGAGCAAAGCTGTGGGAGGGACCCAACAGCTCCACCCAATACAGGCTGCCTGCAGAAAACTACAGGAGGGGAGGAGACAAGACCAGTCACCCTGCACAAGGAGAGAGAGCAGCAGTGACCGGTCTTTATTACAGGAAGCTCCTGCACGGAAGCAAACATTTAAACTAGATTACTGCCCAGATATGTAAAAAATAAACAAAGCACACCAAGATTCAGGAATAGTAGTAGAATAGTAGTTTTCTACAGGCAGCTTGTAATAGGTGGGGTCTGTTGGGTCCCTCCCACAGCTCTGCTCTCTGCACAGACTATGTACAGCACAGCAATGATGTTCCTGCTATTTTTACAAAATAATATCTGAGTTTGCAAAGACATTTTGTGTACAGAAAGTCAATTTATGTCCTTTGTGGCTATTGAAGAATAAAATGAAATAAAATGTGTCTGGCCAGAGTACAGCTTAAATACTTGTGACAGAACACATCATGCATTTCATTTTTTTATATTCCCTATAGATCTCTTCCAAAAAGGGGGGGGGGCTAACTCTTCTTGCACAGCGTCCTTGGTGATTATGTCTGCCATTAGATAGCGAGATATAGTTAGGAAAGTCAAGGACGCACCCACAATGTTCCTTTGCACGGAAGCCCTCTGCTATCTAAGTCTGGTAGGGATGCCTTTTCTACAGCTCCCGGAGAAAAGTGACAGGATCACAGATGGAGGGGTAAAAATGTATTGAATTTTTTTTTTAAATATAAAAAGCAAACAAATGACCCCTTACTAAGATATTGCATTTAGGGTGGTGAAGTTACTATTAGCTTAGAGGGAATGAATGTTCGAGTACACCATGGAGATGTAAAGGAGCTGATTTACTAAAGGCAAATAGACTGTGCACTTTGTAAGTGCAGTTGCACTCATTTTTCCCCAGAGTTTAGTGAATGCGGTGAAGCTCTGCTGATTTCCAACATCCAACCATGTGCAAGAAAAATTCAGTATTTTTTTTATTTTCCTTGCACCTAATTGGGAATTCTTTACACAGTGAAGCTTTACCACATTCACTAAGCTCTGGGGAAATGAGTACAACTGCACTTGCAAGGTGCAGAGTCTATTTGCCTTTAGTAAATCCACTCCAACGTCTCCTGCAGGGCACAAGGCTAGGTATATTTGCATTACAGAATGTAATAAATCTTCTTTGAGTAGTTTTTTTTCCTTTTTAGAATCCTATGAAGCTTTCCGAAAACCTTTTAAACAAGGAATATGCCCCATAGGCTAACACCCCACCCTCTGCAGTCTGTACTCCACCTCCATGAGACAGATCGCTAAGCCAAAGACAAATCCCTTTTTTATATCCTGCTTGTCTAATCAACTGTAGAGTCATATCTGATAATAAGTGCGTGGGAAGAGCCTTGTACCTGAATCCTAGAAACATATACTGCCCATGTTAGAACTTTATTAGGGTTTTTTCACATGATGAGCGGCCAGGGGACAGTAAAAGCAAGTGGATGAGCTGCAGTTTTACTGCCCTCTGAACACTGACATGCAGCCAGACAGGGCACAAGCACAATGCTGTGCTTTGTGGCACAAATTAAATGGTTAGCACTTCCGCCTGGCAGCCTGGTCATTGGTTCGAATCCCAACCACAACACCACCTGCCTGGAGTTTGCATGTTCTCCCTGTGCCTGCATGGGTTTCCTCCGGTTTCTCCAGTTTCCTCCCACACTCCAAAGACATGCTGGTAGGTGAATTGGATCCTGTCTAAGTTGCCCCTAGTATGTGTATGTATGAATGAGAGTAAGGGACCTTAGACTGTACGCCCCTTGAGGGTTAGGGACTGATGTTAATGTATAATATATATAATATATATATGTAAAGCACTGCGTAAATTGACTGCACTATATAAGTACCTGAAATCAGGGCTCGTTTTCAGCAGGAACGCAGGGGGAAATGCAGTTCTGGCACCTCCAGCACTGAAAATATGTAATGGTAAGGAGTTCTGAGATGTACTGGATTGATGCTCACTGCTGGGGGATCAATTGTTTCTTGGGGGGGAATCTCTTGAGGAGGGAAAGGTCTATTGTTGCTGAAGGATCAACTGTTGCTGGAAGGGATCTACTGTTGAGGGAGGGTTCTGTTGGTGCTGGCTTCTGAGAGATCTTTTGTTGCTGGTGGGGGTCGATTGTTCCTGAAATGGGTCTATTGTTGCTGGGGGTGCTTTTGTTGATGGCAGCAGGGGATCTTTTTTTACTGCACTTTATTTTTCCTTTAGTAAATTCCATACAAATGACTTAACACCACAAAATGATACTTGGTTTTGTATTCACTAAAAGAGGTGGTACTGGTAGGTAGGTAGGCAGTGGAACCAAAGGAAGGTGCTTGTAGGTGGGCAGGGGACGGAGACAAGGGGTGACTCAGAAGGGGGGAGTTCCTGCACCTATTATATAGAGAAAAAAGCCCTGCCTGAAATAAATAAATAAATAAAAATATTTGAAAGGACAGCATACTGTAGCAACCAATCATCTTCTTTCATTAAAGCTGAAGATTCATTATGGATATTTTTACATATTTAGCTTGGATCATGTAAGTCTGTCTTGTATCTCTCGCCCCCCCCCCCCCTCTTAGACTGTAAGCTCTAATGAGCAAGGCCCTCTGAATCCTCCTGTATTCATTTGTATTGTAACTGTACTGTCTACCCTCATGTTGTAAAGAGCTGCACAAACTGTTGGCGTTATATAAATCCTGTATAATAATAATAATGTGCCATACCTGACCCGATGCCCCTGGAAGCTGGAAATCACTGTAGTAGGAACCGCTACTACATGGATCTCCACTAGCTTCCAAATCCCTTGTGCAGCTGCTTCCCCTGCTACTTGGTGCACACAGGAGGTCGTTAAGTAGAAAAGGAGCCATTCAGACAACACTTTGCATTTTCACAGTGAATTCAAATCATTCTCTGATTGGACCAGGTAGAGATTGCGATGTCACCACCCCATCTCTCCACTTCGTCCAATCAGAGAACACTTTGCATTCATTTGGGAATATGCAGTATGTTCTCTAAATGGCACCCTTGCTGAACAAGCGACCTCCTGTGTTCACAATGCAGCAGGGCAGCCGCTCAGCACGGGACATGGAAGCATGTGGTGATCATTGGAGTAGCGGTGCTTACTTCTGCAGCATCAGGCAACCCATTCCATGCATATGGTTCCACAGCAAGTACTGGCCAGTCTAGATCAAGCTGGAAAGAACAAATACAGGCATACCTCGGTTTATGAATTTAATGTGTTCTTCAGGACATTTTGTATTGCAAAAAATTCAGAAACTGAAACGCAGTTTCCCATAGGAATGCATTGAAAACCAACCAATTAATCCGTTCCAGAGGTCAGAAAAAAGTAAAAAGTCTTTTATCTGTTCAAAACTCTTTATAAAGTGCACTTTAAAGGCATAAATACTGTACAAGGACATGATTAAAAATGTCCAGAATGGCTCCGAAACTCGATGCAAAAAACGCTCCAAAACCTCCACACTTGACACCATGTGCTACCCACAGACTCCAGCATGCATGGGGCCGGTGCTATAAACCTCCCAGGCGCAATTCATCCTAGGGAAACTTGCTTTGTATTGTGAAAAAAATTCGTAAATGCAGTGAAAACCAATTAATCCGTTCCAGAGGTCAGAGAAAAGTCAAAAAAGTCTTATCTGTTCAAAACTCTTTATAAAGTGCACTTTAAAGGCAAGGGCCGGTGCTATAAACCTCCCAGGCGCAATTCATCCTGGGGAAACTTGCTTCGTATTGCGAAAAAAATGTGGAAACCGAGGCATTATTTTCAATGGATTTTCATTCGTAAACCAAAAATTACTTTACCGAGGCATTCATAAACCGAGGTATAACTGTACACAGGTTTGAAATCCTTCTCCACATAGGCGGACTGCTCATGTCTCTCCTCTCACCTTCGCGTCCGCACACATGCGTGTGTTCAAGTACCAGGATATGGCTCCTGGGAAATACGCCGCAATCTTACATAGGAGAACCCCAGGCACCCATGTGCATGAGGCCTTGAGCCTATCTGAAAGCATAAATATGAAAACTTGTCCAACCAGACTGTGTATGTCATATACCCACTTAGGATATTGTTTCTAATTTGGACTTTGGACTCTATTTTCCTTGGACTCATGAAAATATGCAGTGCTTTTTTTCTGCCAGAATTTGGCGATAAAATCGCCTCTGATGTTACAATATGTATGCACATTTATGCATGCATTTACGCGCCTTTATATTCGTATGGCATTTGAGCACAAATGCATTTTTCTGGCCAGAATATTATTTTTTTCTGGCCATTGAATACATCTACAAGCATTCTCGCACCTTTATGCATGTTTACATGCATTTTTGGCCTCCTGCATACTGGACATTTTTCAGCTGCTCCTAGGGGTATCTGACATTTTTTTACTGCCTCTAAATGCCCCTGCTTGTTAGTCTATGTATCCATGCACACATAGCTGTAGTATAAGCTTGTAAGCAGGTTGAATGAGGTGCCGTACAAGCCATGCTGTAACACAGGGATGAGAGCACAGCATGGTCAGTTTTCTAGCTATGCTGGGAACTCAGCTTGCTCTCTTACAATTAGATTATTGTTGACCCCCCTCCTGCACAGCCATTCACTAGTGTACTGCTGTTTGTCCTCTCCTAGCTCTCTGAGCTCCTTGTGCAGCTGAGAACAGAGGGAATGTGATCACTTATAAAAAAGTATTCATTTTTTTTATATATCTCTACAGAAATGTTTTGCCTTTCATTTGTAATTTAAACTAAATGGAAGTTTTTATACAAATTGAGGGTTCACACACTGTAT